ATGGCCAAAAACCACGGGGCAGAAGCAGGAATAGCCTTATTCACCATCCATCCCAGTGACCCATTCCCACAACTAGAGGTCCTGTCCCCTATAGAGTACTCAGGTCAGGAAACGTAACACGGCACTTTGGACTCTTTATGGCAGGGAGCAGCAGGCAAGAGGAGGAATCACTAACCCAGCAGCAGTAACTAATCCTGACCAGCAGAAAGAGGGCAGCTTCTCCAGCCCATCAACACAGGAGCACCTGTGGCAGCTCTTGAATGGGCATGTGAAAAACACCAGCCTAAGAAGTGCATGGTTATCAAGGGTTCCTACTCTCAGAAATGAACTTTTGGGTCACACTACCAGTAAGCCAGCCCAAACCTGCCAAGGTGATAGGTGAGGTTGGGGAAATTTACAATGGAGAGTGGAGAAGGAGAAGATGAGCACCAGCTGTACCCAGGAAACCAGCTGCAGCATTAGGAACTGTATTCTTCCTAGTATTCTCCATTTCCTAGACTTCGCCTCAGAAAGAGCCCCATGAACATGTGTGGAGAAGCAGCTCTGGGCAGCACAAGCAATGGACTGTGCTGGCCATGGAGGTGCACAGCCCATATCTCCCTTCAAGAACCCAACAGACACCAGTCTCTAGCTGCTATATCTGTCAGGCTTTTCCCAGGAAGCTTCCAGCACATAAGTGAGCACAGTGGGGGTTCTGGAGCCGGACCAATCCTAACAAAAGACACAGAACTCCTCTAGCAGGCAGCCTCTGCCCAAGGACTCCCCATCAACCTGGCCTGACTTTCTTAGAACTGCACCCTGTGGTCTGAGGCCCTTCCTACCCAATTCTTTCCCTCTCTATTTCAGAGCTCAGGCCTGCATCACAAGCTGAAGGCTCACCACAATTCCTGCTCCTTTTCCCTTTATCCTTTCCAGGTGGCCCAGAACCCAAGCATTAAATCACTTGCATCACCTAGGTCCATTTTGGCATCTTCTTCTGTTCTCAGAGAGCCTGAACTAACAGAATCATCTAGTAATTTGTACTCATCTATGTGTGATGACTTCACTTCAAACAAAGTAATCATATCAGATACCACTAGGTAACAGAGATACAAGAATTAATACCAGCCCAGCCGGTGTAGCTCAGTGGTTGAGTATCGAACTATGAACCAGGATGTCACAGTTCGATTCCCGGTCAGGGCACATGCCTGGGTTGATCCCCAGTGTGGGGCATGCAGGAGGCAGCCGATCAATGATTCTCTCTCATTACTGATTTTCTATCTCTCTCTCCCTCTCCTCTCTGAAATCAATAAAAATATCTTTAAAAAAAAGAATTTATACCAGTTCCTGCCCTCAAGAAACAGTCTAGTACAGGAGTAAGAAACCATGACCTGCAGGCAAATCCCACTACTTGCTTTAATAAGTTTTACTGGAACACAGTCATGCTCAATCCTTTACATGTGCTGTGGCTGCCGTCACCCTACAACAGCAGTCAGGCAGTTGTACTGAGGTTGTCTGACCCACAAACATTTACTATCTGGCCCTTTACAGAACAAGTTTTCTGTGCCCTGGTCTAGTGAGACCAGCGATACCATCAAGACCGAAATGTTAACATCCATACTCTGTAGATGAGGACACAGAGGTTCAGAGTGTAAGCAATTTGCCTAAGATCACATGGGTAGCAGTAACTCCAGAACTGGGATTTGAACCCAGGCCTGCCTCACTCCAAACCCTGTACTTGTTATAGCCCTTCTATTACTGAGCTTGTGTTACACTTAACCATAGCTCACCTGATGTGGGAAATGACTGAGTCACTTTTACTCAGGAATAGAGGTGGTGTGATTATTGCTTAATTCCTTCCCAGTATAAAGGAAACTCCTCACTTACTAACCTTTGAACTTCTTTCTCAGTAAATACAAGGCACTGTGCTGGGTGTGGGGGACCCAGATAAAAACAAATTCTTCCACAACCTTACCTAACACTCCCTGCATAATAACAGGTAACATGTTCTTACATACTGTAACCTCACTCATGATGACAGACTTTATAAGCAAGTCCCCTTACCTTGATCAACCTCTCTCCTTTCCTTGCCTGGCAAACACCTATTAATGCATCAATACTCAACTCAAGTGTCACCTCTGAAGCAAAATATTCTGACTTACTCAAGCAGAGTTGATTCCCCAGTCCTTGAATGGCATTGAATGCACCTCCTTATAATGGCATTTGTGACAATGAATTTTTATTTATCTGTCCTCTTATCTAAACTTTAACTCTGAAGATAGGATCATGCATCCAAGTGTTTAGTGTTGTGGCTGGCATAATTAGGCACTCCATAATACTTGAGAAAGGAAAAAGAGGTAGGAAGGGAGGAGGATGTGGAGAAGCAGCACATATGAGAATCTAATTAACATTGACCCAAAAACCCCTGAAAGCTATAAGAAAAGGCCATAACATAAATATCATTCAAGCAACTGGTGAAATGCTGATTGGACATCAATTGCATAAAAATGCTTAAATAGACTATGCTTTCTGATACTCATATAAAACATTTGTCTGCCCTCTCCCACTTCTACTCTGCAAGCTATAAACTCCTCAAATCCAGAGTGGTATACCCTCACCTTTAAAGGTCTTTTATAAATCTGGTCTTATAATCTGTACCTCAAGGCAAATTCCCACTCCTCTCAGAAAGTTAAGGTTTAGGGTTAACTAAGGAAAGAAAACTGATTGATACCTACATGATCTTTATTATTTTGCTTCAAGGTTAAGAGTATTTGAGAAGTACTCCTGTTCAATCCACCTTCTCTTCACCTAAAATGGAAGCATTCAGTGAGCCATGCTCCTTTGATTTTTCTGACTTCCATTGCTCCATTTCCTATTAATGATAATAACCAGGCATCATGAATTCACAGGAAAGGAACCTAGGAAAGGATTAAAGAAAAAAGGACTTTTCAAGGGCAAGTTGGTGAAGACCAAGTGGATAAAATGAATATAAAGGGGAGGGATATAGACACCTGACAGAGAGCATGAAACACAGAAACTAAGACCACAAATGAAGGGCTAGGATAGAAAGATAAATCATGGCCCTAGCTGGTTTGGCTCTGTGGATAGAACGTCAGCCTGCGAACTGAAGGGTCCCAGGTTCGATTCCAGTCAAGGGCACATGCCCGGGTTGTGGGTTAGATCCCCACTGGGGGGTTTGCAGGAGGCCGCCAATCAATGATTCTCTCCCATCATTGTTGTCTCTTTCTCTCTCTCCCTCTCCCTTTCTGTCTCTCTAAAAGAAAAAAATCAATAAAACATATTTTTTTTTAAAAAAGATAAATCATGGATTTGAAATTTTTACAAATTATTTAAAAAGCCTTTAAAAATTACAAAACAAAAGTTTATCAGTAACCAGGAACTGCTTTTTCTTAGTCAGGACAGTCTGTGTCAATGCATTATTTAACACACCTACTTGTACTGACATCTTTCACATCCAAAGGCAGTGGTAATGTAACCTCAGAGTTGGCTGGACTTAACAATCCAATACAGAACTTTCAACCCAGGGGCCAAGTATAACCAGCCTACTACTTACTCTGGTGGACTGTGCTCCTGTGCCTCAGAAAGAGGGAGTATCTTACCTACTGAGGCTTCCACTGGTGGAAACAGGACCCCACCATGGTTCATACAAACAGGAATCCCACAAAATAAACAGAAATGTTTAGAATACTCAGCAATTAAAAAAAAAAGTCAAACGTCTATCCTATTATTACTATTCCCTTAACTCTTATTCTAGAACACAGACTTTATTCCTACTCAAAACACTAACCATGACTACCTTGGCTTTTTAAAATAAAAGTCTACTCCCCAGCCAGGTATTTAAGAAACTCTATCAAATGCATCCCTATGACGCCCTGACCTAAAACCTCTTCTGCAGCCAGGCCAGTCTCCTCCTTCTTCTCCCAGAAAAGCTGACATGCATTTCTGAGAACCTCAGTCTTGTCACCTGAAATATCATCTCTCTTCCTGTCCCTTATTATTCAGGTCCTACCCCATTCTCAGGACCCAGGTTGAAGTTTTTCACTTCCTCCTCCATGAGGTCTCAAAACACTCCAGTACATACCGAGTAGGTCACGGGCACAATCCCTGCACTGGCCAGACAAACGTAATCATGGTAAAATGTAGAGAAATGGTGGGAAGTATGGCAATGGAAATGGGTTTGCCCCACCTAAAAACTTTCAGGTTCATAATTTTTTAAAACAAAGGGTTGGAAGCTAATAACACTAAGTGTCTCTGGGGGCGGGAATTGGATGGCTGGGGAAGAGAGCTGGAAGGTAGGCTTATTTTAAAAAAAATGTATTTTTATTGATTTCAGAGAGGAAGGGAGAGGGAGAGATAGAAACATCAATGATGAGAGAAAATCATTTATCGGCTGCCTCCTGCATGCCCCACACAGGGGATCACGCCCATAACCCGGGCATGTGCCCTGACTGAGAATCTAACTGTGACCTCCTGGTTCATAGGTCAAGGTTCACAGGTCAAAATAAAAATCATATAGACAAAATTTTAATGACCAAAACATTACACCAGTCAAACAAAATACATGTGCCATCCCAAGGACCGCAGTGTAGCACCTCTAATTTGTTGTTTGTTACAGATTAATTAAATAGCCTTAGTTCTGCTACTTATCTTTTTCACATATGTATTCTCTATCACAAGAGACTGCAAAGTTAGGGAGGAAAAGAATCACATTATATTTCTTTTTATCACCGCCAATGCCTTGGATTAAAAAACATGTGATTATGGAACAGAGTGCGGAATCTCGGAGGGAAGGTGGCGGAGAGTGGGTGGGTGGGAGGTAATCAACCAAGGACCTGGTATGCATATATGCATGGCCCATGGACACAGACAATGGGGCAGTGAGGTGAAGGGACAGTGAGATGAAGGGGCAGGGGCAGGCTGGAGGGGGTGAATGGGGGGAAACAGGGGGCATATGTAATTCTTTCAACAATAAAGAATTATTAAAAAAGAAGAACGTGATTTTGTACTCAACATTTGAAATTATTTAAGTTTGGAATTTAAAAATGCCTTAAAGGTCTAGTTCATCCCTGTCATTTTATAGATGGAAAAACTGATGCCTAGCAAGCCTAAGGAACTTATCTAACTATTAAAGGACAAGAACCTAGGACTTGATGAAATGAATAAAAACAAACTCAGAGCCCTGACCAGTGGCTTAGTGGTTGGAGTGTCATCCCACACACCAAAAAGTTGCAGGCCCCTGGTCAGGGCTCATATAGGAGGCAATCAATCAATGTTTCTTTCTCACATCAATGTTTCTCTTTCTTTCTCTTTCTCCAAGGTGAAGATTAAAAAAAAAAAAAATCACAGGCACACATTCTGAGCATTACTATTAAAACAAAGGATGTCCACTAGAGGGAGCCAATAGTGCATAACTTGAAGGTAAAGTTCCTAAAACAGTTCCCTTCAAAAGATCTATAGCAGCGGTTCTCAACCTGTGGGTCGCGACCCCTTTGGGGGTCGAACGACCCTTTCACAGGGGTCGCCTAAGACCATCAGAAAACACATATATAATTACATATTGTTTTTATGATTAATCGCTATGCTTTAATTATGTTCAATTTGTAAGAATGAAAATACATCCTGCATATCAGATATTTACATTACGATTCATAACAGTAGCAAAATTACAGTTATGAAGTAGCAACGAAAATAATTTTATGGTTGGGGGTCACCACAACATGAGGAACTGTATTAAAGGGTCACGGCATTAGGAAGGTTGAGAACCACTGATCTATAGGGTATTTATAAAGAACTTTTCCCAGACCACTGAAAATGACTAAAGGGCCAAATACCTAAAACAATGTAAATTCAGATTTCTTTTCACTAGAGGTGAAAATAGAGGCTTTTCAAATCCCCAGCATTAAAAATAAATGTTATTAGCATATAGTAAAACAGATTTTTATGTGTGTACATTTCTATCAATTTTAGAACATTTGTATAATCACCTCAATCAGGAAACCGAACAGTTCCATTATTCCCGCCCCCCCACCACAAAAAAACTCCCTCATGCTCTGACTTTATAGTGACAACAGCCTCCTGCTGAACACTCCCACTTCCGACCCCCAACAGACAACAACATTCCATTGTATAAATAAACAATGTTTAGCCATTCATCCACTGAAACACATATGGGTTGTTTTCAGCTAGTGGTGATTATTAATAGAGCTGCTATAAATATTAATGTACAAGTTTTTGTGTGAACATGTTTTCCTTTTTCTAGAGTAAATGCCCAAGAGCAGGAATACTGAGTCATAGCGTAGCCCATTTAACTTTTTTAAAAAAACCTGCCAAACTGTTTTATAAAGTGACTACCAATGTAGGCTTCCACCAGCAATAAAAGAGATTTCCAACAGCCTAGCATCCTCACTAGCTCTTGAGATTGTCCATATTTTTATTTTAGCAATTCTAACAGATATGTAGTGGTATCTTGCCATGGTTTTAATTTGCATTTCCCTAATGCTAACTATGTTAAACATTTTCTCAAGTATTTACCTGCTATCTGGTTATCTTTGGTAAAGTATCTGATCAAGTAAAGTGTATTGTTCATTTTTTAATTGGATTGTTTTCTTATTGTTGAGTTTTATATAAATTTGAGAAAGAGTGAGGAAGAGGGGGATAGAGAAACATCACTGAAGGGAAACCATGGATTGGCTGCCTCCTGCATGCCCCCTATTGGGGATCAATCTGCAACCTGGGCATGTGCCCTGACCTAGAATCAAACCAGTGACCTCTGGGTGCATGGGATGACACTCAACCAACTGAGCCATAACAGCCAGGGCTAGTTCTTTATATTTTGACTAGAGGCCCAATGCACAAAAATTTGTGCACTCGGGGGGTCCCTCAGCTCGGCCTATGCCCTCTTGCAGTGTGGGACCCCTCGGAGGATGTCCACCCCAGTGGAGACCCTCACCCCATGGAGGTTTGACCAGCCTGGGTGAGGGGCTGATGGCTGTTTGCAGGCTGGCCACACCCCCTTTAGGGTGGGGGGTCCCCACTGGGGTGCCTGGCCAGTCTGGGTGATGGGCTGAGGGCCGTTTTCAGGCTGGCCAACCACCCTGGTGACGTAAGCTCCCAGCCTCTCCTTTTCTTCTTCTTTTTTTTTTATTCTGGGATTTATTTACCTTCTATAATTGAAACTTTGTTGCCTTCAGTGGAACTCAGAGCCCCGCGGCAGGCATGAAGCTTGGCTTCCTGCTCGGTCCAGCTCCGTGGCCACGGCCAGCTGAAAGCAGGTATCTGGGGTTTATTTATCTTCTATAATTGAAACTTTGTTGCCTTCAGTGGA